AGTGTGTTATTTGTTGAAACTGTACTTCCGATTTGATTTGAAACTGTCTCATTGCTATCTGTTTATCAATAAAATTTTGGAAAAAAAACTATACACTATTCAAATGACATAAGAAATGAACCACTAAGTAAACCAGTATCAATAAATTTAAACAGTGGGGCCAGGGAGATGGCTCAGTGGAATAAGCGCTTCCCTGGCAAGCACAAGGGCCTGAGTTTAATCCCTAGTTCTGTCCAAAAAAAAGAAAAAGAAAAAAATAATAAATTTAAACAGTGATTTAAAATCTCTTCCTTTCCTTCCAAGACAACTGCTTTGGTTGGCTCTACCGTCAAATCTTACCAACTTTTAAACCTTTTAAGAATATTCGCTATTATATGCAAAGATTTCTGAGAAATTGAAATGGTTAAATCATTTCATTCTAAGGTGCTTACCCAAGAAAAGTAAAAACACATGTTCATAAAAATAAATAAGTATCAGTAGTAACTATACGTGTAATATGAAACAACTGAAGACAACCAGCAATCTACCAAGAGGCAAACGGAACAGTTTCCATGCAGCAGAATACTGCGCGGGAACATAAAGAAGTGAACGATGCAGACACGCTACCAAGTACACCTCGGACATATTTTGCTGAGTGAAAACAAGCCAGAAAAAAATAAAAACCATATGATTGCATTTACATGCAATTCTTGAAATTATAAACTAATGTGCACTGACAGATCAATGGCAAGCAGATCATGGGAAAACAGCAGTAGGCAAGAAAAGGGAGGGAGAGAAAGCAGGCAGGTTTTACAGACGATTGCACGGTAACTTTGGTAGATGCCTTTGTTATCTTAGTTGTAAGAGAGTTTCAAGAACAATGTTTATCAAATTGCACAGGTTAAGTATGTATATTTATTGTATGCCAATCATACAAAAATGGTTATTTTAAATCCCTGTAAAAATCCCCAAAAGATTAGGTATTTGAATTATAATAAAAAGTATATTCCATGATCAATTGGATTTATTTCAAAAAGATATGCTGATTCAACATTTGGAAACTTCGTTAATATAACAGTTAACAGTTAAAAGAAAAATAATGCAATTATTTCAATAAATGTAGAATTTGATAAAAATCCAGTACTCATTTATAATTACTAAGTAGCATTTCATGCAAATGAAATAGAAAAGAATTTCCTTAGCTTAATAGAGGACATTTTTCAGAAAGCCTACAGCAAACACCACACTTCAGAATAAAATTTTAAAAACACTTTTTAAAGTCCCTTCTTTTCATCGTTTTATCAAAGATCCTAAAAGTGCAAAATTAGGGCTAGGGATATAGCTCAGGGGCATAAGCACCTGTCTGGCAAACACAAGGACTCAAGTTCAATCTCCAGTACCAAAAAGGAAAAAGAAAAAGGGCAAAATTATAAAAATAAGAGAAGGGGGCTAGCCACATAGATCAGCAGATTAAAGCTCCTGCAAGCTGGAGGAGGGGCCGAGGGTTCAATCCCTGGGCCTGCCATGCCATCCCAACCCCGGGACAGCTGAGAAGGAGATTGAGACTGGGTGTGGTGGCACACACCTATAATCCCAGCACTTGGGAGGCTGTAAACAGGAGAATCACTAGAGTCCGATCTAGTAGTGAGACCCTGAATACCAGGTAAACCCTTCCCTAAAATATAGATAGAAATAAATAAATAAAAATGAGAGAAGGAAGAACTAAAGGAAGACAAAGGGTTTTTTTTAATTTACAGACACTATGAAACGTACATAGGGTGTACAAAAGAAAGGCACTCTATAATTAAGAATAGTAACTGATTTAACACGATGACTAGATATAAAAATCAATACACCAGAGCTGGGGCGATAAGTCGGTGGTCTAAGCGCCTGCCTGGCAAACAAAAGGACCCAAGTTCCATCCCCAGTACCACATGACATGCTGTCCCTGAAACCCCGGGGTGCCCAAACCGGGCGTGGTGGCACACGCCTGTAATCCCAGTGCTGGGGAGGCTGAGACAGGAGGATCACTACAAGTCTGATCTTCCAGTTCCACTTCTACCAATCAGAGATCTTTGTGTTCTGACTCACACAAAAGGAAAAGCAGGATGTGTGTGGCAGCACTGTGGGTGGAAGTAAAAACTCGGAAGCAATTTAAATATTCATCAATAGGAAAGTGGGTGAACATAAAATGAGATATTATCACACAATACGACACTACAGAGCAATTAAAATGAAGGAATTACATGCATCTAAATAAAACATAAGTCTGAGTGTAAATATATAGCAAAATGACACATTAGGTATAATTTAAGAACACACAAAAGCAATATATGGTTTCTGTGTAAAAGCATACTTGGGAAGTTACAAAAAATTTGCATGAATGATAAATGCAAAGTCATAAGACTAACTGTCTGGGAAGGGAAGAGACAGCAATGGGATTCAGAACACATTTAAAACATCAAGACAAATAAATAATATATAATTGGATGACACACATAATGTGGGTCATATTTGGATATAAGAGAACCTTTGCATGCTATTCTGTCAATTGCCTAATCATGCACAAGCAGCACAATCAGCTCACCTTTGGACCCTGGACTCCAATTCCCACTGGTCCTCTAGGGCCTGTAGATCCCATCTGCCCCACTTCTCCCTAATAACAAAAGACCACTTGAATGGGGGCACCTAGAAAAGTTAAGCAGTTACATTCACGAACCACTGAAATGGGCACATGGGAAGCCACTGTGACAACTAATCAAGGACAACATCATAGCCAGGAAGAGCAACCTAAGCTTTCAATGATGGGCCCCAAGGGAAAGCCCCAAGGACACATGGGGATCCACTGAGCTGCTTCTCACTTGGGCAAAAAATAAGCAGCATCCTCTCAGGGAGTCATCTATGAGAAGCATTTTATTTTTTTGACAATGATTAGTGGTTCCTTCAAGCTAGATTAAAGGTAGCCACTTAAATAATAAATGTTAGACCTTTTCTAAAGACATAGCTAATTTGTGTGTCATTTAAAGCATAATTTGAATCCAAAGTTCATGAGGAAAAAATCCATATTGAGTCATCTCTAATTGCCTCTCTTTAACTAAGGTTCTTTTAAGGACTCACTAAGGGCCTGTGTGAATGCTGGAGAGGAAGCAAATCAGCGAAGCCGGAGAGGCAGGAAACCACGGGTGGCCACAGAAGCTACTGGAATTGGAACAGGGTCTCAGAAACAAAAATAATAAAGGAACAAACTGATAAAGATGTGGGGGCTGAGGAGATAGCTCAGCAGCCTAAGCACCTGCCTAGTAAGTGCAATGACACGGGTTCGATCCCCGGCACCGCATGTCATGTTGGCCTCACCCCTGGCCTGCCTAGCCCAGCACTACAAAGGCTGAGCAGCAGGATCGCTGTAAGTCTGAACTGTGCAGCAAGGCCCTGTACCAAATACATAAATTAAAAACATAAATAAAAAAATAAAGATTGTGTAAGTAAAACCTTCTTGAAGCATAAAAATAATTTCTAAATTATGAGGAATATCAGTTGCATTTGGCATAAGCAGAGATGTCTGATTCTTACTTTCCTTCTACCTGTTTCTTCCAAATGCAGTGACACCAGCAAGGAAGTAACAAAACACTCTACAAACTCTGATCTCAGCTAGTTACCTTGGGACCAGGTAAACCTTGTCCTGGAGGCCCCTGCGCACCAGGTGGACCAACAGCACCTTGGAGTCCCTTTAAAACAAGATTTTGTAAAAATGTTATGAGTTCAATTTATGAAATATTTGATTAGGAATAGTTTCATGTCCTCTAAGTGAAAGTTTAGTTCACCCCCAACAGGTCATTCTTACTACAGGACATCTGTTAAATGGAACAGCGGAAGCTTCTAGGCAAGCCCTACTATGCCTCTCCCTTTCCGACCAGTAAGATACGAAGAGTGCATGCAATTTCTGCTTCATGCCAAAGGATGAGGCTCTTATCATCCTTCCCCTTCTCCTTCCTCAGTGAACAGAATGAAGCAATGGTGGAGATCCTAGATCATGCTCAGGGACAGCAGATAGGGGTGAAGAAGCCTGAACCCCTAACAATACTGTTAAACAGATTCACCACCCTCATTGAGACTTTTAAATTCTAACATGTAAGATTGTGCCCTGTCAGCCCAATTCACATATCTGTCACAGGTAGGCAAGCCTATGTCCTAGTTAAGCCAACTGAGGTGTGTTAAGTTGAAAGTTTGATGTGGGCTCTAAGACTCCGCAGCCAGTAGACACCAACCTGGTGAATACACAAATATTTTACTCTCCTTCATATTGTAGGTGTGAAGGGGAAAGAGAGGACTTGTAATGCTCTTCTCTGGAGAAGGGAATATGGATTATGAAGGTGCTTTCTTAGGGGAAAATGCAAAGGGTTTGAATTGTTTCTTACCTCGATGCAGTCTAAAAAGAAGATTGGCACCTTTGTGGTTTTGTTCTAGGAGCACATGGGTTCGACTGAAAAAGTTCAACTGGCCTGTGGAGTGGAATCACGCTATGCACCAGAATCTATCAGGACAAGAGCCACAGGACATTTACCTGTAGACAAATGGCACACTACACAGGAGACCAAGTCGGTGTGGAACTATTTGAACCCAGATACCTGGATGTGTAAGAACACCAACATAGAGAAAGTCAGCCCGTGAAAGCAGGAAGAAAGAGAGGACTTCATCCACTTCTCAGGAGGGATAGCCAGGGTGTCCTGATAGATTCTGGATGCACAGGGTGATTCCACTCCACTGGCCAGCTCACACACCTGCCAAGCCCACTCCAGACCGTGGCACCAGCTGGGAAAGAGCCTCAGTACCCTGTTCCCCAACCAGAGGGGGAGGGGTGAGAAATGCTCTCTCCCTGCAGCTTATACAAGACAATGAAGATTAAAGGAAAGATCTATAGGGCCACTATGTATATTTTTTGTTATAGAATTAAATCTAAGATTTGCAATTCACAGCAATTCATCAACTTTTCCTTGGCAGGCAAAAAAATGTTCCCACTGAAAAATGAATGGTGAAGGAATGACAGAAAAAAACTAAAATTCTCTTCTGCTTAAATCCTGAAAACTAGAGTTATGTGACCTGTGTTATAAATAACATTGTTATTTTTACACCTTCAGTGTAACAAATTTTTCTCTATTAGACAATACAAGTCTTGATCAATTTTAAAATACAGATATTACCCTTTTTTCTGGTTAATCAAGGTGAACAGACAAAATAATTACCAAGGTTAAGGTTGCTACACTATAAATATTGAACAGTTACAAGAAGAAACACTTTCTGACTTTTACAATCATCTGTAAGTAGCATACAATGAGACAAGGGAAGAAATCTACAGGATGTGAACATCTGTGCATGTGTGTGTGCATGTGGTCATTCATGGTCCACTGTATAAAACATCTGAGGTAATCGATCCTCAAATATTAAATGAAAATCTGCAGGCTGTTAGGAAGATTTAGTAAACATGCTTCTGGAAAGTAAACTTCCCTCATAAGCAGACAGTGGGAAAGCTCATTTCTATAAAGGAAATAGAAATAATAAGCACAAGAATTAAACAGGTAAACATTCAAATTAACGATAAGAATAAAACTGAGTACACAAACATAGGTTAAGTAGATTACATATCACTAGTATTAAAGAAAAAAATAACCTCTTTTCTTATGCAGAGCAGCTTAGGAAAAATACATTCCACTCACTTCCCTGTCCAGCAGGGGTTAGCTCTCTAAGCCACCTTTGCCACAATTTTTTTTTTCTTAAACAAGAAAAGGGGATAGGAAAATGAAAAAAATTAGTCAAAGGTCAAACCGTGTCTTTGGCTTGGTTTCATTTGATTTGGTTTGGTTGGGCTCATCT